TAAGAGTACGCCCCCCCCCCCCCCCCCCCCCCCCCCCCCCCCCCCCCCCCCCCCCCCCCCCCCCCCCACCCCACAACAAATAAACGCGGAAGAAGTTTGAGCAGCCAACTTTTACTTGTACACTACCACAGTTTTTTGCACACAACAGCAGTTCAAGAGCAGTTCAAGCAATCCCCGCAACTGCGTCAGCTGCTTGGGAATGTTGTCCCTTCTGCCAAGGCTGTTTTTGCGCGCCACCTCTCAGCAGCAGCTGGGATGTCTCACAGCGGATGGGTTCGAAAGTTTCTCTTGTCATGTTCGGGCCGAGAGAGAGCGGATTTTCCAGCGGCTTGATTCACTCCAAGAACCTAAATACCTACCCATGCCCACTTTTTTTTCGTTTGGTACGACTCTTACCGAACTTGACAGCAGTTTTCTTGCAGACGGCGCGACTTAACGCCTTCCGTATGCATATGCATACGGGCAACGAACACGTGCTCCAAGAAGTCACATTTGTATGTATCATACGTACGTACGGCGAGATCGAGCCCCAGGCGGCTTTCCGGGGGCCGTCTATTCTCGCCCGCGGCGAAAATCAAGCGTGGCTGGCTGCGTTGTTTTTTCTTTTTTCTCGCATCATGGGACTCTGTCGTCTGCCCCTCTGGCCCCTATCCTCCACTTCTACTAGCTAGACGACCCAACCGGGGTCATATAGGAGGGGGGGGTTGGATCCCCTCCTGCGGTTCCTGCCTGAGATATTTTTATCGCGAGAAGGGTACAGCAATCCCCTCCCTCGCGACTTATGAAGTCGATCATATGTACGTGCGTAACTCTGTCTACAGCCAAAAGTGTCATCTGTAGTAGCAGAACGTCCATGGAAGAAATAGGAAAAGTGTCTGCTTGTAGTGGATTCATGTAACACTCTAGTTACCGCACACACACGCCGGTAATTTGTAGCTGCTCATATCGGTGCTGTAGCTTCATCCTCGCCCCCTCACGTCGAGAAAATGCGCAAAAGCATGTAGTCGTGTCTGTCGCCTTTGCTGACTGACCCACAAGATTTTCCTCCCGTTCCCTTCCATTTCAACGAACGCACGCACGCACGAACCAGGCGGTGCTGATCGTGAACGTCGCCAGCCACTGCGGGTACACGGATAGAGACTACCGCGAGCTGCAGGCGCTTCGGGCTAAGCACGACGAGGTGATTCTGTGCTCCGGGCAGCGGGGTTCGTTTGCAGGGGGGCTGGGGGACTGGGATATTATAGTCGTCTTTCGTCTGTGTATTTTGTTAACCGTCGAGCTGCACGCCTTGTCCACCTTGAGCACCTCGGGACTCTTTGCTGTCTTCGGGGCTCATTTCAAGTGGGGCAACTAGCTTGCATGGAGTAATCGCTGCTGCCACTGTGGGAGTTTTTTGTACCGTGCCACTCTTAATCGAGGGGGGCGACGGGTGGTTTACTGTAGTACAGTACAGTAGTGTGCTGCTAGACCACGGTGGGTGATGGTGCGCGGGTTGATCGCTCTCTGACTAACAGAGGCCGACGTTTTTTTCGTTGCTTGGAATTTTGGAAATGGCACTCTTGGCTGGTTTCAACGGCTACTGTCTGCACGTGTCGGACTCCAAGCGGGGGGTTCATGTCACGACTCGCTTTTCAGTGACGCGGGGGCGAAGAATCACACCTCTGGTTCGTCTTCCTCACCCTCCTTCCTTTCCTCCTCCCCGCCCCCCTCCTCCTCCTCCCCCTCCCCCTCCTCCTGCCCTTGTGCACGACACCCAATGTCGTCGCTCTCTGTCCCCTTGCCCCTTTTGCCAGGACCAACTGGCGATCGTGGCCTTCCCGTGCAACCAGTTCGGCGCGCAGGAGCCCGGCACCTGGGAGGAGATCGCCAGCCTCGCGGACGGAAAGTTCGGGGTCACATTCCCCATCATGAGCAAGGTGAGCGAGATAGGCAGGCAAGTAGCAGTGGTGACGGGGGGTAGGTAACGAAAAGAGCCATAAATGGACGGGGCACACGGCAGGTGGCTGGTTGTTTCGGCGTGAACCGGTTTTGGGCAGGGCGGGACAAGAAAAAAAGTCAACCACAGGGGACGAGGGAGATGTGTCGCTGGCTCAGGGATTCGTAGAAGCACAGGGTGAAACCGCCAAACGCGATGGTTCTTTTTCCCAATCAATGCCGGGCTATTTTTCTGTGGACGTCGATATTAATTCCTTGTGTTGTTTTTGTAGACGAAACTTTGTAAAAGTGGGAGCTATGTAGCGTGCGCACCGCGGGGGGTGCGAGGCGATGGGACAGGGTACATACAGCGGTGCATGAGGTGTGTTGGTTTGGCGTGGCATGCGGTGGGAATGGATACAGAGAGGGTGTCTGGTGTGTCCTGGCCTTGTGCTGTTTGTTCTGCCCACCACACAATGAAATGGTCGTGTGGGTTGCATCGGGTGTAAGGTGTAAGGTGGCGTATATTGTGCCGTCATGGAAAGAGGTGTGGTGAGAGCGTGGCAGCGGAAGGTGTTGGGTGAGGTTGTAAGCGCACATGCGAAGTTGTTTCGGAATGATGGTGAGCTCTGCACTACGAAGGCAACTTTGCGTTCCACCACACCGGACGGAACACGGAAGCCAGCGTTCCAGTGTACATTGTAGCAGTGGCCGCCCTTTCAACAAACGCCACACCCACTCGCGACTGCTCGCCCGTCATGGATGCCATGCCCCCTTTGTTCTCAAGCAGGGGCCTTGTTTTCGCCAGTGTGTTGTCAATCCTTGCGCTTGTGCTTTGTGGACGTTTCCTCTCCGAGGACTGACCCCTCCCCTCCCCCCCGTCTCCCTTGTTGTTTCTCTGGTGACGACTTTCTCCGCCTTTTACTTGGATATCGACGACCTTCACGGCCGGCTAGATTGACGTGAACGGGCTTCACTCCTCCCCGATCTTCGCGTGGCTCAAGGCCGCCTCGGGCAATCCCCACGACATCCCATGGAACTTCACCAAGTTCCTCGTCCTGTGCGGCTCGACCGTCAAGCGATACTCGCACGAGGTGGGTGGATGACTTACTTTTGCCGTAAATATATGTTCCTCTTTCGATCATTCGTTGTAGCTCCTTGCTGCGGCTGTACACCGCCATCCCGCCCGCCTCGCTCCTTCTTACCACGCTTGGAACTAACAAGTGTGGTTCGCAAGCCGAGGAGTCCCGTCAGTTGGGCTGTGTTCTGAAATCAAGGGGGTGACTGACCTTCGTAGTTTTCGTGTTGCCACCGATGGGGTCTGTCAGCGGGTATGGTACAGGCGATGCGATGCGATCGATCGCGAGCGTGCTTTGTTCAATCTCACGGCCGCTGCATCCGTTAGCTCGCCGTGCCGTAAAGTGGCGGGAGAAGGCTATCGCAGTGCACGCGCATCACATAAATGCTGGTATGTGTACCCGCGGTGCAGTGACTAGGGTACGCAAGCCTACTCAGCGGGGGTTGGTCGTGATGAACGTGTCCGCGTGCAGGCAGTACGGTGTTGTAAAAAAAAAAAAAAGGCTATGGGGTGATATCGTGGCGCTTCGTCCCCTCCAACCCCATTTCCCGCCCCACGCAAGGATGAGCCTATCCTCTTCCTCCCCCCCTTGCCCGCAGGATTTTTGGCAGCATGCATGCGTGTTTCGACGTGGTGTGGCGTTTTCACGATTTTTCCCTCTTGGTGCCGTCAGGTCAACCCGATGCAAATGGACGACATGATCACCAACGCTAGGAGCTTCTGCGGCGCTAGTGATGACGAGGCGGGCGGCGGCACCGGGGAACTGTAACTGCTATGACGCTATCCCCGGAGGAAACGGTAACACGACGACAACAGCCCGGCGGCATCACCCACCGGACGCCGCGTCAAGACATCTATCTGTTGCCGTAGCCCCCCGTTTATTATATTATTCTGTGTTTGGCAACAATCCGAACCCTCCGTAGACTAGAGCGAGGGGTGAAAAGATTTCCGCGGATGTTGGCGTTGCCGTGTGAGTCGGACTCACGAACAAGAAGTTAACCATTGGCTCTGGGTTGTCATCTGCGCTTAAGTTCTGAAGCCAAGCTCTTCTCCGCTGATTTTTTTGTAAGAATACTGGAAATCGTTTTCTTTGCTTTTGTCGTGTACCCTCTCAACGTGATTCGCCCCTTGTTGAAATTTGGTGACACGTGTTCTGTGTGTGTGGATGATGGTGTGTTGTTTGCGAGGCAAGAGCAACTTATTTTCGCACTGTTGTTTGATTGAAGTTGGGGTGTAAGTTCCTCCAACTCTGTAGCACGTCGAAGTATGATGTTTTGTGTGCTCTTGTTTGGTATCCTGGAATCTTGCCCCACTTCGCTTTTCGTGATAGAATCCCAGCACTCTATGTTAGAATCCCAGCATGTCCAGCGTTTTGAAAACAGTTCTTGTTGATATGATTGGCCTGCCGAATATCTATGAGTCGCTTTTTTGTGCACGCTGTGTATGCTGTGTACCGTTACAACCACCCGTAATTTCTTGCGGTCTACGAGACACCCCTTCGGTGGTGACGGTATTTTGGTAAGGCTTCTGCGGGGATAAGAAGTATGAGGATCGCCTCAACAGCTGTGCACCGCAGCCGGCAACACCTAAAGCGTTACCGGTATGTAGTACGTAAGCACGGAGGCAGTGTTCGTGCGGCTTTGAACTTGGCGGAACCGCAAGCACGGGACAGGTCGCGTTTTTTCTAGGTACGTTACATAGACCTGCCACGCGTTGCCTTGCCGTGTTTTTGTTTCGCAGGTGATGGCTTGCTTTGCTAGAACGACGTCTTGTGCGTGACTGTCCGCTTTGGACGATAGGGTGTCGTAGCAACGGATTTTTTTGCTTCTTGTCTCGAACGGGATGAGGACGGGGCGGGCGGGTTAAGGTGCGGTCTCGCTCTACGCAACACGAACACCCTCCCTGCTCCCTGAGCGTTTTTTCCCTCACGCCTCTGAAACCATGCGTCGCTGGGGAGTTGGTCCACAAGCATCTTGTTGTTTCAAACATTTTCCTCCTTGCGCAATAATTGTTGAACCACGCGACAGCTTGTGTGTAGGTATCGGCGCGCCGCCCGCAGTCAGCCTTCAATACCTACGCAACGGTCACGCCTTTTGGGGTGAATACGTGTAGCGATTCCACGAAAGTGCTTCCAGTTTTGGCGATTTCATGTTGGACTGAGACTGGGGACTGCGGCGCGTTCCTTCCGATAACTCCGTGTGCCACGGCTTTTGTGAGCGTAGAGGAAACCAGTCTCACTGTTTGTCTCAACTTTTGTAGTCGATCTGAAGCTGTATGCTTCACTCCCCCCAACGGAAAACAATTTGTTATCATTCCGATACCCCCACCCTTGTTCGACCGGCTTCTCTATCACACCACAATGCAGACTACAACTCCAACAGGATTGGTTTCAGCACGACCCGACTCGGTGATGGCCAGAATGCTCTTGTTGCTGTGATTTGTTGTCATAAACCGAACCGACGGGCCGGGCGGGATGATGTGAGGCAGAAAGTGAGCGTTTGGAGTCAAAAATGATGGTCCTCCTCAGGAGTTTCGCTGTGGACGTCGGCTCCAAGATACATTTCTTGTGTGTTTGGAGCAAAGAAAAGAAACAGGACAATGACTGCAGTGCTTACACTAGCTTCGGGATACTTCGCAAGGCTGTGGCATCGACATATATATGTCTATAGATCTGCACACGACTCTTCTCGGCCTTGTGCTAACAAACTTGCACGTCCGCAAGCTCATTGGGGCCTCCATGGTTTGTTACGCACGCCACGCATGACGCTACTGCTGTATGAACAGGCACAAAACGAGCAAAAACGAGAACGAACGAACGCGATGTACTTATTACAAGCGCAAGCAAGGTTCACGAGGCGGCGCGCTTGCTGCACATCCAGGCGCTCCTCCTGCACACTAAACACCGCCACACAGCATCTGCTACTTCGACTCCTAACGAATAGAAAGACAAACGATGCGTGTAAGGAACAGGCTCCGCCACTGGCAACACCACAGCAACATTTTTGCGTGAAAGGAAAAAGAAAAAAAATGCATTCATCGGTTCGGCCAAACTTCGGAAGGGCGTCCCCATCAACACGTTTCGTTGTCCCGAGAAGGGAGCTACTGTACCTTTTCATACTTGCAACATATGGCGCCAACCCTCCCTAAGACAACAGTAATAAACGCTTGTACCAAGAGCGTCGATACACCAAAGCAAACTTTCCACCGAAAACAACTTCCAGAAAGCTTTTAGTCCTTAACCTGGTCTGTTGCCTTACAGTTATTACATCATTACGCCAACTTTCTCTTCACACCCCTTCCGCCGAGAATCAACTCGGTCAAACAGGGACGTGAACGACTAAATACTTCGCGGGAGAGACAAAATATGCCTTTGGAAGTCAAGCACGCACATTGCTTCGACCCACCAAACGTAGAACGCTCCAGCACGCCCAGGCTCGACCGAGAGGGCGAGGGACGGCGTGACGAGAAAATCCGCACCTTAGCAAGCCGCGCGACGATCCGCCGCTACCCACTCTCGCTTCCGCATGCCTTGTCAAAAGCAACTTACAGACAGTTGCAGATTAAAACGGCGTCCCTAGTACCCCCCCCCCCTCCAGTGCGCGCTCTTCGTGTACCATCCTTCTATCCCCTTAGCCGCGTCTTCAACGTAGAGTACTCCGTAGCGCTCCCTGCAACCACCTGTTGCTCGCTCGATCGCTGGAACATGGACTGCAAGTCCCTCGGGGGAGGCACGGTAGAAGCCACCGCGCTCGAGCTGGCACCGCCGCCCACCTCCCCGCCGCCCCCCCACTCCGCGCTCTGTTCTACCTGGCGCTCTAGCCGCCTCGTTAGCGCTGTCACCATCGACGTGTCCAAACAGCAGAGGTTTTCGTTCACGCGGATTGGCATCGGGGTTTTGGGGTAAGGCACAAAAATTTATTGCGTGCGCGGTACCGTGGTGTGTTGGTGGACGGATGGACCGATCGGAGTGTGGGGGGGGGGNGGGGGGGGGGGGGGGGGGGGGGGGGGGGGGGGGGGGGGGGGGGGGGGGGGGGGGTAAGAAAGTGAGAAAAAGCCAAGGGTCTGGTGGTTGTGCGCTGGGCAGGGATCATGCATTAGGCATTAGGCAAGGAAGCGTCCGAGAGCAACTTATAACTCCACAGCAGGTGTTCGTAAGGTCCAGACAGACTAATGTACAAGGTCTTGTTGTGCTTAAGAGACTTGACTGGTTTGCGAGCGACACACGCTCTTCGAACAGAGTCCGCTCCAAGCTACATGTAGAAATGGGTGAGGCCAGAGGCACAGGTCGAAGTTGGCAGACGAAAGTCGAGTAAAACAAGGAATGAAAAGATGGGTCTGCTCAGCAAGCAGGAAACATAATAGCAGCGGTAGGACGGGCGCTCGGGGCGCCAAACCACAAGGACTAGCTACGGGCGTGAAGGTTCACGACAGTCTACTTTCATCGAGTATTTGGTGAGTCTGTCCGAACATCTTGCGGTCAAATCCTTCGGATAGGCGGACGGCTCGGAATGGACATAGCGCACATCGCTCAGCCCGCCGCAGTTTCTACCTCCAGCCCCTTGTTCTCACAAAACGGACACAACATACGCGTTCTGATCGGAACAAGAGAGGAGCCCCCCTCTAAGAACTTGCCAACGAACAAACCGGAGACGAACTTCGCAACACCCGTTTTCAGCACTCGACATGGTCGGGCGGGACGACGGTTGGCCACCTTCACCGCCCGCGACAAACACAAAAACACAAAGGGACAGTAACAGCAGGGGCACCGCCACCACCAGCAACGTGTAGCAGGCAACCCACCTTGAGCTCGGTCCGCCGTGACCCTTAGCTCCGCGCACGACTGCACCGCCTCCTGCACCTTGCTGGGTATCGGCGTCAGCCCGTTGTCGTCGAAGGAGCTCGACACTCCCATCTGCAGCGCGTCGACAAAGTCCTTCACGTCTTGCAGCAACACCGTCTCCCGCGCCCCCCTTCGCACCAACGCCGCGCATCGCCTTAGTCCCTGCAAGGCGTTCAAGTGCCGTCATGTCATAAGGCGTGTGAGCATCTAATGTCGTTCATGTATGTGCGCTAAAGCTTGGCAGTATGGCACAGCGGGAATTGTGGAACTCTGTCCAGTGTTGGGGGATCGAATGTGATGTCGACAGGGTGACACCGCAGGGTCCTTGGGGGCGGGAGAGCACAAGGGGTGCCAGGGGCAGGGGACACTAGATGGTCGTGAAAGCATCTTCAACAAGCAGAGGCAGAGATTTACGAAGCGATGGCCTTGGGATGGAGCGCACGAAAAAGTGTATGGCCTTGAATGACGGGATTGTTCAATCTGGTTGCCTGGCGGGGCTTCTCTGTGCACCTTACCGCGACGGCTGTGGCCACATGTCACGCCTCCGAAAAAAGCAGGCGGCACCGATTTATTGCTACCCTAACGTCCTCGCTATTGCTGTTGCCTTTGCTCGACTGCTTTCATGCGGACGCTCCTCGACAAAATGACGGTATTTTGGGTCTCAACCCATCCAGATGCATCACTTTTCTTCACACCGCACCAAGAATTCGCGTTTTCGACTCAGGAAAGCTTTTCAACCACCCTTCTCGGGAAATTGAGGCCACAGAGCACAGGATGGTTGACCTTTGTGGCTCTTGACACGGAACCCCGCACGGTGGTGTTGTACTCGGGAAACAGATGAGTTGTAGGCGTACGACACAACAAGTCTCCATGGTACACACAACATAGGTATCGTAGGTTATCGAGGCCCACAGCGACACGCGTATGGAACGAAGACCAGTCGCATACACAACACAGGCTGCATCTTGCTTTCTCAATATTTCTCTAATTTCTCCAGGGATGTGGGTCGCTGTGTTGCGGTGTAAATTTCCCTCAGCAAACTGAAAACGGCCCAAATACATGAGCGTATTGTCAGCCGCCGCCGCCTCCGTTCGTTCGCTACTTTGCTTCATTTCCGTGTGTCCTGTCATCATCCAGACACGTCTACCCGCCCCTGTCTTCATTTTTGCATACATCGTCCTTCCCGGTGCATTGAATGGTCCTCGTCAAATACGCTTGAGCTCTAGCGCCCGGTAGAGAATGTCCGTTTCGAGACCGATTTCTTGTCATCACATCGATTTGCTGCGTACAGCAGTTGTACAACGAAGGCGTTCCCCGAGTACATAAGCCGGACGAACATGGACACGTTTTCCCCCATCAACGAATCCCGCCCTTCTCAGACAGACAATGTCCCGATCGCCCCCTCCGCCCCCCCCCCTTCTTACCAGCACAAGAAAATCGTACCCCCACCCTAAAATGACCACTCCAAGCCCCCCCCCTGTGACGGTCACCCACCTGCCGTCGCCGTTTTCGCAGGTGCTGTATCTCCGCATCTAGCGCTTCCTCTTCCTCCAACCGTTTTGGCGGCGTCCCTTCCTCCACCTCTGAGGCCCACGCATCCACACCCAAAACCGCCCCTCCTTTTGCCGAAGGAGCTACCGAAGACCCTCCCCCCACGCCGCCGCCGCCGCCGCCTCCACCACTTCTCTCTTGTGCGTCACCCGCACCGGGTGCTGCCGCACCGGGTGCTGCTGCTGCTGCTGCTGCCGGCGCTACTGCTCCCGTTACCGCCGCTCCCGCGCCCCACCCACCAGCCGCAGGAGCTGCACCATTGCCACTCCGACCATCCTCTCCCGCCGCTGCCACCGCCGGTGCCTCGGTGGCACCCGGTCCAAAAGGAACGGAAGCAGCCACGGCCGCCACGTTCTTCTTGATATAGCGGTCGAGGATGTCGATGTTCCGGTCGAACTCTTGTTGGATGCGCGTTTGAACGTTGTCGCAGCAGGTCTTTATTGTCGCCTCGATATCGCCACCGCCGCCGCCGCCGCCCCCACCGCCGCCCTGATCTGCTCCTTTGACCTTAGCCGCGGCCTGGCGAGTGTTCGATGATATTTTCCCAAAAAAGGGTGTGATGAATAACCTTCCATGTACCCACTCACACGCGGCACACCTGTATCAGCTCCATTTTTTTCCTTAAATATTAACACTGCAAATCCATCTCTATCCATAGAAAATGGTCTAGCGTTAGCGGTGTGCTACCTGTCTTTCTATGACTCGGTATTGGTTTGGTTCATTGTTCATTGGTACAGTATGGTGTACAAGATGACCCAGCGGCAAGAAGACACCAACCGTGTGACGGCCACCACCGGAGAAGTTCTTGCAAGCCCTGGGGGTTGAACACGAGCTACGCGCGATGCTCGCACCAAGTGGTTTGAACTTCTGTTGCCGGTGAAAAGTTCAAATATGCAGAAGCAACACTTGCGGCAAAACCTTACTGCAGCAGTATTATAAGTACAGTAGTACTTCGAAGTAGTAGTTTACAAGACTTGTTGCTTTCGGCTACCGGGCAAAGCATCTCTTCGCAGCTGTCAACAACCTGCACTGCTCCTTTAATGTCGGAATGCCGGATAGATGGGCAACAGAGACCAACACACTGAACACTTTTTGCTCATGAGACGCTGCCCCCGCCTGCTACGGCGTTTAAGGAGCGTGTGCTATGCAATGTGCCGCGTATTCCTACGATGTTATGTACTCGTCGTCGGTCCTCGGTTCAAAAAGCAAGTATAAATAGCTTGGGCGCACGCACCTGGATCAGTTCCTCCTCCATTTTAACCATAGCTTCTGCCAAGCTATCGTCCATGTAGTCGTACACTGCGAGGGAAACAAGGGGTGAGGGGTTCGTCATCAGCAGCAGCTACAATACGTACTGAAGTGAATCGGACGTAAACCCTAACCCCCCCCTTGGGTTGCTGGTTCCTGACTCCCTGACCTGCGGCGGGTGCTCAAAAGTATAACGGACGGCAACAACAGCAGCCACCTGCCGACAATTGCACCTACAACTTTTGAAAACAAGAAATCAACCTCTGACCTTCATCGCAGAAATTCTCAGTCTTGAAGTCTCCCAGCAGCGGATGTGGCTGCTGCTGCTGCTGCGGCGGCGGCGGTGGCGGTGGCGGTTCGCCCCCCTCTGCCGACATGTTGCCCGCCCGTCTCTTGATGCTTGACACTTTTTCAAACAAGAATTTGAAAAAGTAGAAGCAAAGCTCCTGTTTAGATGCCTGAATCACGGTACGGTGGCCGAAAGCAGCGCAACAAGACTAGCACGATAAGATGAGCAGTCGGTGTGGAAATGTATTTGTTTTTGTGACTGTGACGACGTCCGTCTTCCTGTCTCGCACGCAGTACAACGAGCAACGAGCAGGGCGGGGGGGGTCTACGCTTAGGAAGCCATTTCGTACCGTATTACTGTACGGCACTGTGCCGATTCACCGGCGCCGCTGGATTGGCCCCGCTCTCGGACTCAGCACCGTTCCCTGCGGCTGTGTTGCGCGACGGATCCGTCCGGCGACACCGCGCCACCTGTATTGTTTTGGCCGTGATGACCACGGCAACCTTCGTCTCTAGAGATATGTCATTGGACGATGAATTCAGGACCGATCCTTTCTTTCCACCGGAAACTGCCGGCGCTGGTCATCCCTCGACAGGTACAACACTGAATGCATAGATGCAGGAGAGATCTGTGTCGCAAGGCGGGGTCGACTGTCGTACCATTTGCCTCGAGAGCGAAAGTGAAGCAGGAGTGCAACATTAATCGCCCCGTCAGATGTCGTATGCCGTTATCGGTAGTACGTAGTGCTGTTTTTAGTCGGATCATTGTTTGGTCAACAGCCTGAGCCCGACAGAGGGCAAATCCATCCATCCTCTACAGCAGTCTAGACTATTTGTGTAGCACATGATATGCACACGAAACACGGCCACGGCGAAGTGTATCTATGAATAACAGAATTGGCTTGGCGTTGAAGGACGCTTCTGAGTGTCCTAAATAGACCCCAAACTTGCAAGGGATGTCTCCTGCCCCCTCCTTGATCCTCCACCCCATCCCACTCGTGCGCACTACAGTAGTACTTTCCTTGACATGTATGCATATCCCTCAGGTAACCAAGTTGAATCACACTCAGGTAGCACAGCAGTACGCTGGTGCCCGACCTTTAGTACAGAGCGGCCTCTCTGTATCGATGAAGCTTACCTCCGCCCGTTGCGCTGTTGGTGAATCCTGCCCCTCTGTCAGCGGTCTGGTCAGATGGGAAAGTAGGCCTGGCAGGACTGTTTTCCATGCAGTGGGCTAAGCAAGAGCTGCATCTCACGGCGGTGGAATATTTGGGGTTGGCTCTGCTGCTGGGATACGTCGTGGTATACATCGCCGGGCGGAGACGGAACTACCACATCGCTCACGGGTTCATCATGGGTGTCCATGGGTTGTTCTGTAGCCGATTCTTGTGAGTAAACCTATCCACTTGAGATTGCGGGATACCCGACTGCTTCCGCCGCCGCCGCTGCTGACGTTCAATACCGTGTAAAGCACGTCAGTGCTTAAAGTACATTATATGGTGTTCCATTACCGAGTCGAGTATAACCGACATCCAACGCCCATGTAGATGGTGCAGGTGTGCGCTATGACCCGATTTCGTCTCTGTTGTACGCCCAACTCATAAACAAACCGGCAAGGTGTTAATGCCGACGTCACGCTGACGGGAAATCCTTGCCGCTTTTTCTATGCCGAGACTTTGGTGACGTTTTTTCATTAGGCAATCGGGTAAATAGCGCGGTCGATACTAATAAAAAAAACACGCACGTTTGCGGATCTTTTCAGGGAGGCGGGCCCTGCGTCAGAGATGCCGCCCGTCGACCGACGGCAGCTCCTGGCGCGCGACAGCTGTAGCACCTTCCTCTACTACGCCACCGGAAGCCGGCGGTGCTTGGGCGTGCAAGTCACGATCGACCTCGCCAGCCGTCACGACCTGTTCATGGTCCTGTGGTCCTTCTTCAGCCCGGCCATGGGCGACCGGGTCACCGTGGAGGTGGCCTTCGACGACGAGGACATCGAGCCCGTGATTTTCGCCGTTGCCCGCAAACGCGAAGTGAAGAAGCTCCTGCAGGAGGTGCCTCACCTTCAGGACTACGCGGGGGTCACCCGAGCGCCCTCCCTTCTCCCCCCGTCGCTCGTCTGCCTGTCGGAGAGCTCCGCTCTCCTGGAACCGATGCTGCCGCCCTCGGTCGTCAAGAGTCTCAGCGAGAATGGTAGCCTTCTCGAGCTCATGTACGTGACCGACCAGAACGATCAGCCGATATTGGGGCAAGAGCACACGCCCAAGAAGGTGCTGCGGTATACGTTCCGGTTGCCGGTGGGATCGGCGAGGGTTGGCGACGGGAGTGACGGCGCGACGGAGATGATGGAGCTGGCGCTTTCCTACATCCAGCTCTTGAACAAGTGAGGCATGCACTGTCGGTCTGCACCGCCACTTGAGGCTGGTTTGTTTCAAATGGTGTAGGGTGTCGCTGTGGTGTGCATGTTCCATGCCCGCCGGCTTGTTACGGTTCGAATGCTTCGTGTTGGTTGCGTTACGTCCAGAAATCTTCGCGCGGCGCCAACGTGGATGGAGTAGTATTGGAGTTAGTGTTGGGTTGTAGTCTCGCCCCCCAAGTTGGCGATGATAACGAATTCTGTTCCAAGGGTTCATTAGATAGAGAAGTAACCAGACACGGGTATACCTGGGTGGATTATCACCATTTCAGGGCACATTTGGAAATCAACACGACGCCAATCTCCGACCGCATCCGCCGTAGATCGCGGCGAAACCAATAAACCGCTGTCGGTGTCCTGTGTTCCTGTGCCTCGGAAGCATGATGCACGAGGCAGGTCATGCCCGTTTTTCTCTCTCTGTGCCTCTCTCTCTCTCTGTGCTTTTACTGATCAGTACCACACCGAGGTACTCGCGCGTCAAACGAGTCCGACCCTCTGTTGAGAGGGGCCGGTATCCTATGGAGGCGATGCCCATGAACGATGAACGAGCGAGCGTTGTTGGTGGTTTGGTTGTGGTTATGTACGTGCGGTACACGTTTTTTTCTGCGGGTTTTATGCTAGAGCGTCGGGCGCCGGGATTATTTGACCATTTCTGGGTACAAAATCGACCTTTTCCGGGTGCACCAGCAACCAATATCGGTCACGCCAGAGGGTCCTAATTCCAGCGGTTGTACCGGATAGAGGGTTCTTCAGAAACGGGTACAATATTTTTTCGGCCAATCAGCTGACAGCCTGGGGGTACAAGCGTGTTGATTTCTAACTGTACCCTATAGTGGTGATAAAGTACCCGGGTATACCCGTTTCTGGTTACTGGTCCGTTAGATATGCCACCCAAGTACGTAGAACCATAGTTATTGTCGAGCGAAGCGCGTGGCGTCATGAGTAAGGTGCGCTACATGACTGGGGCAACGCGGCCTACTCTACTACCTGTTGTATGGGTGTCTTTCAAGACAACAGTCAGTTGACCACCTCATGCGCAGCGGGTGACGATGAAACTCGAACACTCACACGTCGCCTTTGTGTTCCTTGTGGTACTTCGCTATCATGGGCAAATGAAGGTTTAAGATGTCCGCGGGCACGAAAAAGAAGGCTTTGGAACGGCGGGAAGCCGTGCTGAAACGCAAGTCTACGATAACGCACGCCCAGAGGCAGGAGCGCTTCCAGATGCTGAAGAACGAGCGGCTGCAGAGAGAACGGGAAGAGTACGAGGGCCTCACGCCAGAGCAGAAGCGGCGGCGAGACTTGAGGGACGAAAAAAAGGCCAAGAAGGTTGCCTCCAGCAAACGGCACAAGGCACGTACTTTACCAACGGTGTTTCGAACTATCCTCATCATCGTGTCAACCAATGTCAACCAAACTCTCTATACTCGTTGATCACGATACTTTTTTTTTCCTTGTGCGCTTTCTTCCCTTCTTGCGCACGGTGTTTGAGCAGATGAGAGTGACCAAGGCATAGGTGAATATTGAGAAATTTGCGTGGCGGCCGCTGGACCAAGAGGGAAAGAGAGGAGGACCACAAGGGAGAGATGTGGCTTCATGGGTCCTTCGTGCTGAGCGACAAGACAGTATTGCCAAAGGGTGTGCGTTGGTTGAGGTTGTTGGATGGTACATGTAGTTTGAAAGTCAAAAACGCCAAAATGTGATCACGCCATGCATAGACTATGCGAACGACGAAACATCGCTGGTATAATTCGAATGACATAGTAGCATAAAGCGCACCAGAGTATCTCCTTGCGAGTCACGCCTCCTTTGTTACTGTCAATGCCTTCCTTCTTGAAACAAGAACGCACTGCGTCAGGGTGAGCGAACACCACAAGCTCCACGCCGTCTCCCAATCTCGCCCTATAGCTCCTATCGAAAAGGAGGCGGCCAAACACAGAGTGCAGCGTGCGAACTTACGCGTAAACCCTCACCCAAAGAACAAGCTTCTACGATGCTGCACACGTCATGGGTTTTGGGGACGGAGGAGGGGGCTACGATTGTAGCGTGAACGTTGATAAGAGCATTTTTCCTTCCAGATATAGCTCTTGCAAAGGTACGTAGCTGTTCTGCTAAATAAGCGCCTGGTGTACTTGTGAAAGCAAACAGCTTTTCGGCATGGGATACCCGATCCCAACGCGACACTATACCACGCCTCAGATGAGTTTGTCACACGAAAACTCTTCCGGTTGACCTGTAGATGAACAAGTGCCGGGTGCGGTACATTTCGTCAAACCTAAACGGACGGGTGTTGCTGCCAGCACGATCACATGATCGCATGAACACAGCTGGTCGGAGGCACCGTACCATTCACAACTCACCAGCTCCTGCACGACTACCTACCGTCGTCAGTCTACCCCATTCCAACTATCACGCAGCGCTTTTGGTGCTTTAGTTGACCATAATTTTAACTTCTCCGTCCAAGCGGGTGTGGTTCCCTGTATACATTGTCGACATACACGCTCGGACGTGTACAGCAGTAGGCATGGCGGCAACACGTGTACCACGCTTCGGCACTTATGGTACCGAAGGGCAAGCCTCACTGGCAGCCCCAAGCGACTGCTCCAGCAAGCTCCCCTCCTGTACCAGCGGCCGCGACGCCTCTTGTGGCGAAAACGGTGGGGGTCCGTGATGGTTGCCGTTACTCGCCACACTCGCCGCCCCAACCGACTGCTCCGCCAACCTTCCTTCCTGTGCCAGCGGCGGCGGTGCCTCTTGTGGCGAAAGCGGTGGAGGTCCGTGATGGTTACCGTTTCTACCCAAACTCTCTGGTCTCGGAGAAGAAGACGGCACGGCGCTAGTAGCACGGTGAGGCAAAGTACAGGGAAGTCTGCCTTCGTGCCCCCAGCGGCAGGGACGCCAGCGTAGAGCCCGTGCGAGGGTGGCGGCGTCCGTTCGAGTTGCGGTGCTGCCGCTCCCGCCGAAAGCTGTAGTTGCGCCGGGAGAGGCCCCGGCTGCAGTGGCTGCTGCAACAACGGCGGCAATACTTGGGATGGCTGGACCAACGGCGGATTCACCAAACGCTCCGCCCCTGCCGCCTGCCTTTTTCTCATCATCTCGATTTCCTGCTCCTCCCCTTCGCGCGAGATGTCCCCCACCATCGTGACCAGGCCAGTAGTGCACGGTGGCGGGAGCGGGGTCGGCACTTTCAGGGCCGCAATGGAGGAACTCAAACATCGTCGGCGTTTCCTCTTCCTCCACGTGTCCGCGGCCTCCACGGCCTTGCGCTGCAGCAGAGAGCACGCGATGCCGAGCACTTGCCCGAGCTTGTGCGGGAGACGAGCCTGCTTGCTCGAGAGCAGCCGCCACGTGTCCTCGCCCAAGCTCGACTCTCCCGGGCTTTGCAACAACAGGTCCACGAGGGACTGGGCACTGCACCTGAACGAGACGTCGACCGAACCGCTCCGTATCAGCATGTCCACCTTGTGCACGATTACAGCGGCGATTCCGCTCCAGCATCCAGACCAAAGCCCCGCAAGGGCTAGCACGCCGAGAGCGAGTACCTCGTCCGGCGTAACAGCTACTGCCTCACCGTTGGCATGGTTCGGAGGTGGCCCGGCTGCTGGTGGCTTGTGGGAGCGAAGTTCCCCCGACACTGAAATGGAAGGCTGCTGCTGCTGGAGCTGGTCGATGGGCGGTGGTGGGGGTTGCTCGAGCTGCGGTCGTTGTTGCTACTGTATGGTTAGGTTTTGTGGATTTGTCACACCGGAGCCATCGTTTCGTTGGAGCACTCCCCTCCGCAAGCTCGCTCAATGTGAAGTTCAAGGAAGATCCACCAGTACAGGTTCAACAAAAAGAAGGGCGGAGAGTCTCCCACCACGAAGTGGGTCCGAAGTTGGCTGGCTTCAAGCCTGCTGCGTGCTCGGTGCAGTGTGCCGGACGGTTGTCTTCGTGGAAACGGGAGAAGCAAGCAGCAGGGAGAGGCGCCGCGTTTTTTTTTCAAAAACGGGAGTTGCGCAGATATAGCTTTTTTAAGGCGGGGACATCTGCGGTAGCTTTGAGTTCCATGATTTCGACTTGAAGCTTCAAGATTAGCGGGCATACTCTGTTCTACTTGTCGGCTGTGCTGCTCCTTGTCACCAACAGCAGTCATCTCCTCCCTCGGACCAACAGCACCATGAAGTTCACCGCTGCATCAGTTCTTGTGGGGCTCACCACCTCCCAGGCTTTCATGGTGCAGCCCACCATGAAGACCGCCGGACCGTGAGTGTTTCGTATTTTTTCACTCATGTAATTTGCGCTCTCTGTGAATTTGACGTTTGCCCTTGGCCCTCCACTCGTGTGCTGCGTGGGCGAGCGAATGCTGCTACCGTGCTGCTCACCACACGATGCAAAGGGGAAAAGACTAGCCAATAGCTCACAATTCAAGAGCTATGCCAGCGCGTATCCGTGTTTTTGGCTCATGCATCGTCTCACCTCGCATGAAAACACGCGCGAGATATGCTGTGGGAGGTGGACATGAAATTGGACGGGTTCGCGTTGATGCACTCTATTTTTCAATGGCTTTTTTCGACTGCGTCACTGAAAACTCGGTCAAAGCCACAACCGCGAGTAAAGGGAATACGAGGACCAAATGCCTTGTCCATGGAGGCGAAAGCTGGACAGGCAGTGGGCGTGGCACCGCTTATCGTCGTGGGCGTGGCAATAAAGCCCGCATCTCTAGCGCCCTCTCAAACTGTCTCGTGGGGTGTTGTTTTTTCGCTCGATTTCGATCATGTCTCTCCATCGGACCGTTCCTCTCCCTTGTCCCCCTACCATCCTCTCATGCGCACCGTTAGCCGCAAGTCATGCACGGCATCTACGCCAACCTCAACACACGCACACGCTCTTCTTCCACCTTCCTACTCCCATCAATTGCCCGTACTCAACGCCCCCGCCGTAAATTCCGTCACTTTTGGTCGTGGTTCTCCTTGACACGGCCCACAGGGACGGCGGCAGCAGCCGCGCTGACTTCGCCAAGCTGGTGACCGGAACGGTGGCAGCCACTGCCGCGGTAGCAGCACCCGCGCTAGCCAAGGCCGGAACCGGAGCGAAGCAGAACTGGTTCGGCGTGATCGGCGCGGACCAGGAGCTCGGGGGCGGCATGTCGAACTACTTCGCTGAGTCGGACACGTACTCCCCGTACTCGCCCTACTCCAAGGGCGACGAAGCCCTCTACAAGACGAGCGACCAGGCCTTCATGACCAAGGTCAAGATCGACATTCTCAAGGACTCCCAGAAGAGGCTGCAGACTGTGCCCGGATTTATCGAGGGCAAGAAGTGGGAAGAAATCCGCTCTCTCCTCACCGCCAAGGTGGGTTGTTGAAGTGGGCGCATGTTTTCGTGCATGGATCATGCCCGACTGCAGCTGTATTATCTATTAAATTGATCTCCGTTAAACACACCCACAGCGTCACAAGGGATGTGTTCAAGTTGTTTTGGCATTGTCGTTTCTTGCTGTGCACATCCTGGGCTGCCCCTTAAGCCTCCCAAGTGAGACAGAGTCATGCGTGTCAGCACGTGACGCGTTCTGTGGTATATCGTTCCTGTTCTTGTCTCTTGCTCCCTTTTTGCGCAAATGCTCAGCCTCATTCATTGCTGCGCTTGCAAGCGTACGTTTCTTTGTTTCCTTGACCCTCAAGCGGCAAGTCGCATGTATACACACGTGACTTAACTCCCTTAGCAACCAGACTCAATCACAGACCCAGTATCTAGCCGATTTTCATGCACTGACTGCAATGCCTCTCAACACATCCCCTTCCGCTGTGGTTATGTATCTCGAACAGGGTCGTCTGTCGGTGCTTGATGTATAACATGTATTTTCTAAAACACATACAAGGTTGTACGAAGTGATGTAGCACGGAGGGGGAAATGCGTCCCATCTCGCCCAACATGTGCGGTACAATTCTCATCACCCAGAGAAGGCTGCCATGAATAATGAAAAACACAGCGAGCTCGCCCAATGTCGCGGCCCTGGCCAACAGAAACACACAGGTGCAATCGCGAACAATTCGGTTCCGGGCAACCATGATCTTGTTGTGGTGGGCTTTCATCCTTTCCCCGGCGTGCGAAGTCTTGAGGTCAATTGACAACAATACCGTCCCCCACGTACCTCACGAAGATCCATCGGGGTGACGGTTTTTGTGACGTCGCATACGCATCATTATGAAGCGCAAAACAGAACGCAAGCTACCTTCTTCAATAAATCAGACCGCTCGCTAAAAACCCCGGGTGGAAGTGGCGACAAAACCCTTGTGTGCTGTCAACGGTCTCTCACATTGTTGCACACCAAACGGCAGTCCTGTTGTTGTATACGGCCCCAGGTGTGCCGGATAATGCAACAAAACAACACTCTCGATTTTTCATGTCATCTCTTGGTTGCGGTCGGTGGCGGAGAAATCTGGCAGAAGGACGGGACTTGCCACGGTGGTTTTCGATGTTGGAAATATGGAAAGACTACGACACACTTCGTTTCGCGTAACAGATCTTGAGCACGTGTTTTCATAAACCTACAGCAGATGGATTACTTGTTGCTGATGTAGTCGCGGCCACCACCCGTCTGGTGAGGGCCCCTCCTATTTTGTGGCAAGTCTCATGCCGATGCTGGCATACGGCAGCATGCTGGAGCATGCTGGATGTACTTTGTAGAGGTTGTGCCGTGTTTTCTCACCAGTCTGCTTGGATTCGAACATATCCGACGATGGGTGGGGCGTGGTAGAACAACGACAACCTGTTGTGCGCGCGAAAGCGAACCGCGTCCATCTGCATCATGAGGTATTGTGTTCGTACGCAGCCTTTTTTGTAGTATCATGGCGTGCCAATTGCCCTCGTTTTTGTTTTCTACACGTTTGATTTGAGCTGGAAGTCGCCTCGGCCCCAAACAAACTGGGTCGCATCAAAAACCTTCTCAGGGGTACTGCGCCTTTCTTCAGCTCAATGTATTTTTATGCATGAACACTGTTGGTCATTGACTCTCAAGTTGGGCGTGGAACACCAAACAACCGCGGAGAGCCGTCAACAGGCGGAGGGTCCAACGGCCTGTCCCACGTATCTCTTGGCTGATATTGTGTAATCGAAATCAATCGAGCACTATGCATAGCTCTCGGCGTTTCCACCGCTTTCCCTTGTGTTGTACAAGTGATATCCTACCGCGCCGGCGGCATGCAGTGTTGTAGAACCCGGTTCGTGGTGCGTGCAGTCATCAAATATTAACCACGGAGCAAGGCTGCCGCAGGTTGCATGTTTCACGAAGTGTGCCCTCTGTGAAAGCCCTCGTGTCATCACATCCAGCCGACCACTATGTCAACAAGCAACGTTGCCTTTCGGCTTGACCTGTCGAGGACGGTTAACAGACCACTGTGGCTTGAGTGTCAACATGCCTCTGACAAGAGCCTGGTGTTAGCGCCGTAGGTAGTCATCTCCCCACCCCATCTGACAGGCTGGTTTTGTATTTTTTACATTATTTGTCCATCGAATGATCCTTTAAAGCCAGTTTTTTTACTCCCTCCCGTTCAATTCGCTCGCCCTTCATGCGTTGTCTCTTTCTTTGCGCGCGGCTGAAACAGGCGTACAGCCTGCGGGATGCCATGAACACCCTCGCGGCCGACAAACCGCAGGCGGCCGGCGTAGCCAAGGTTTTCTACAGGGACATCGAGCAGCTTAACGTGTACGCGCGCCAAAAGAACGGCCCAGCCTGCACCAAGGCCTACAACGACGCGCAGGAGCACCTCACCAAGTACCTTTCCCTCATCTAAGCTCGCCGCACGCGTTTCGGCATCGTTGAGGGGTACTTCCGTTTTTGCTTTGTTTTCTTGTGTTGTCTCTGTCGTCTGTTGTTGAATAGGACGGCTGTTCGGGTGGCGAGGGGCGATGGTCAAGAAGGAAACCATGACGTTTTTTTTTTGTTTCTGGGCCAGCGAGCCAACAATCAGGGGCAGAAGCATCAAGGGGGCGAGAGGAAAGGGACCAAGTGTCTTGCCGGTGGGACATGTAATACGTGTAGAGGTGCCACGTGTTTTTGTTTTTGCCTTGGGGAGCAATAAGACCACCCTGGCCTTGTTGCTAAGGCTGGCTCACCTGTCGATCGTAGTTCGTGGTCGCGCCCCGTTTTTCGCCGTGCGGTCCTGGGTGACTGCGCTAGGTCTCGGCTGTCGCATGTCGAGACGGGGATCATCTTGTTACATGTGTTTCGATTTAGACAGTGCCTTAAGAAGATGACATCCCTTGAAACGTCGTTTTACAAATCAGAAGACGCAGAAGTCACTTAAAATACCCCCCACCCTCCCCCCGCCCTGTGGAAACTGGTCGTGGGCTCGTGTGTCTGGGTGTGTTACGTTTGGTATCGCTTGTCTAGAAGAGGGGTAGTTTCTTGATCCTGCAGTGGTTAAGGATACTACTTGAGTCGTGTGCAGACGCAGACACGCAGGGGCGCCATCTCCCTGGACGTGGTTGCTCGATCCTCACGCCGCGGGGCCTTGACACCGTTTATCTCGAAGCTGGAACGGGGATGGGCGGTGATTCTCTTGGTTCCGATTGCTCCACTTTTGGAAATGTGGACGTTGCAAACAAAGTTTAATAGAGAATGATCGAAGCACATCATGGAACCTACCCAAGTCGCCAGTGTCAAGAGCTTCCTCAGCGGTTGCATCGGCCGTACTCGTTTGGCGGAATGAGAGCGTACATTGGAGTGTCGTTTGACACACCACTGAACCGGGGTACGAAACATGGATTGGTGCATACGACCAGACGGCCTGCTACAGATGCGCGTCTCGTTCATTCTGTTCCACACCGTAGCGCACCCGCCACCCGCCGTATGGTGGGAACAAACGACACTTTTTTTTGTTTGGAGGAATATTAACGATCTCGTTCCCCGTCCATTGTTTAAGCCCACTCTCACCGAAACTATGCCTGGACGCGAAGCATCTAATCGCGCCTGCAGAGAGTTCGCCCACCCCAAAAAACGTGCACCGTTGGTGCCCGCGGGGGCGGCTAAAGGTCAAATCGCTGCGCCGTACAAGTTTGGAGCTCTCCTCACACAAGAACAAAGGTCCAGTGGCACCATCTTCAGTGCCCGAGCGCACAGGCTAGGTTCACGCGGACGTACGCATCCCGCTTGCCTTCGCGCGGAGACAATCGTTTCAGGCCGCGAACGGTTGCGGGGGGAGTGGAACTCACACCCCACACGCCGGTTGCCCTCATGCGGGAACCAAAATCAAAACTGGTGTGCGTGGTTCAAAGTGTGGGCGGGTCAAGCCAGCCTTCACTCGTACATTCCACTGACGAAGGAGGCAGGCGGCCACGAACAAAAGATTGGACGACTCTTTCCATTCACCTCACAGTGGTTCCCGACGCAAACCAAGGACACCTACCACCAACCGCTACCCCCTGCTGCAATGGAAAACTATGACCGAACTCATACACACGCGTTAAAGGACAACACAACGAACGAATCTAGAGCTCAAGGTGCTCGGTGGCCTTGCAGCGCGCGACGTAGTCCGACTTCTCCAGGCACCCATCGCAGTCCACCCCCCGGTCTGCCAGGATCCCCTTGAGTTGCTTGACTCGCAGCTTGTTGTAGTCCATGTTCTCCTTGTCGACTTTGATCGCTGTTATTGGCGCGTTTTATTTTGCGGCGTGCGTCAAATAGGGCGTGATCAAGCGGGGAAAGGTGTGGGATGGGTGAGGGAAGCAACAGGCACGAGACGTGGGTATGGCACGTATGTGCTCAACAAAACAAAACTCTGTATAGATGGGGCATGATCAGAAACGGAGCAGTGGCGTTTCGGTACTTTCGAGTCCTCCATCTACACACAGCCAATACCTCCCGCCCATAAAACTACACAGATCAGTATGTACGCCTAGCGTGTGACCGTGAGTGACGGATGCAACTAATCTCGAGATACCACAAGAGAAGGCCATCCAGCAGAATTGAACAGCACACTCGACTATGAAGCTAATATGAGAAAAAAGGAGGCGTGATCCTTGTGTTACTTCGGGACCTTGGCATCAGGACAACAAAAGAAACCACGACAAAAAAACCTGTACATGTACACGGCAAGAGCGGTCATCATTACTTGCGCACGTAAATGCCAGCGCCGGATGAGCAGTCAGGTAGGCCTGTGCCCAACACCTGATTGTGATTCTCTCGAGTACACCCCCACCTCTACCCTGACGCCTCTCGCACTCACGGTATTTGATCTCGCAGACTTCCGCGTTGGATGCCTTGAGACGCTGGCAGACCTTCGACTTAGGCATACCCGTGGAGAATGGGTGTGAAATCGTCTTCTTGATCGGCAAGAAATAGTAGCACTGGAAACAAAGCGGAAAAGTTGTTGCCACAGGGAGGGGGCGGGGGTGTACTCATAGTCGTGCATGCCGTAGTCATTAGGCCATTGACCTCGCATCCCTACAAAGCCGGGACGGAGCACGCCGGGTTCTCA